CAATTTATTTCTGCAGCGCTCGGTCAGCAACGATGTCAGATCATGGTGGGATGGAACTGAACCACGGTTTTTCAACTATCCGAAGTATAATGATGCCATTTTTTTGATTTTGTCTGAGGTCGTGACGCCATTCTCTACGTGGACGGTTTGTCATGCTGGTAGATACGACGGTTTTCTACAAAACCGTGTCCGAAAGAGCCGGACTCTGACAGTCGTTTTGTGGCCAACAGAGTGACAGCGGGATATCCTTCCAATAAGTCGGGAAAATAATCTTTCGCCATTGCACGCTACCCCAAATTATGTGTATGAATTCACGCGCACTTGCAAACAGGTAAATTGAGCGAACGCAAAGGCAACTGGCAGGCAGTACTACTGAACAGTTCTCTGATATGCTATTCAAACAACAAAACAATATACTACGGTTCTTGATTACTAAACACCTGCTAGACAGCGGTCGAGTTTTAAACCTCAAAATAGTTTACAAAGTACAGTACGGCGATTGCTGCAAACAAAATGACACAATTCGCGAGAGACTGGTAGGCCCTCGCAAACCAAAATTAAGTAGCGTTGCAAAGATTTTTATCTTGCAGTCTAATCTCAAGTCTTTTCAGTCACGCCAGGATGTCTGCTTTCTGACGAGTTTCTTTTAGAACGTTTACAAAAAGTAGATTCTGCAAAAAATGGCTACTTAAATAGTATGCATTTTTATCATTGATTTTGACTGCCCGTATAAATCCAACTCTATTTTATAGAAAACAGGCACGGAAGTATTCTTTCTTGTACTCCTTTGGTAGGAAATTACACATTCTTAAAAATTATATACTTAAAGAAATGGTATCTTAGGTTTTGAAAAAGTTTCTAAATTGCCGAATAATTATGAAAGCTACCTGCTGCTACACCTGAATTCAAGGTTTCCAAACAACATACTGTGCACATTCTTTTTGAGGAAAAGCGTTTTTGCCTACGTTTTAAGGAAGAAATCGTATATTTCTTATAAAATTTTACAATATATGTGGATCATACTGCATGCATTATAGGCAGCATTAATAAATTGACGAATACGATGCATTATCAATAAAAACCTCACAGTCGTAAAAAATCTCATATTTATAAATATTTCTAAAACCGAACTATACCCTTCCTTTAAGTATAAAATTCTAAAAAAGGTGCAACTTTCTACCAAAGGAAAACAAAAAAGAATATTTTTTTGTGCATTGTTTCTATAAAGTGTATTTTTATTTATAGAGGCAGTCAAAATCTATGATAAAAATGCATACTATTTAAGTAGCCATTTTTTACAGAATCTATTTTTTATGAAAGGTCAATAAGAGGCTCATCAAAGAGCCGGTATCCTGAAATGACTGAAAAGACTTGAGATTAGACTGCACGATAATCTGCATTGCAACCCTACCTAATGTTGGTTTAGGAGTGGTTACCAGTCTTTCGCAAATTGCGGCATTTTACTTGCAGCAGTCCCTATACTGTACTTGTTCATGCACGAACAAACAAAATTCTGCCCTACTTGGACTCAGGCTATATACGGTGGGAGAAACCCGACCTATGCAAGCAGCGAGACTATGTGGTCAATCTCTAATGGCCCTGATACCCACGTACCTAGATTTAATCACGGCTGTGATCTACGTTAACAACATCTCCCCCTCTTTCTTATATTTTAAGGTAGC